GATCAACACGGCAAATTTCATTGTATTATTTTCAGGAATTGCCGCAGCCACCCCGACCTTCAGCAACCACCGCCCTGATCAGTCGGCAGCCACCGACATAGGGACAAGACCCTCCACCGGCAAAAAGATTATGACTCGCTGGAAGTGTGGATTATGGTTAGCATTTTTTAGCAATAAAGTATTTTTAAGTTAAGATCATGTACATTGCTTTTTAGATATAAGACAATTTCACACTTGATAGACTATAGTATAGTGTAGACACAGCTTTTATGTTCACCAGGAAACCAAAAAATTAATTTGACTTGCTTTATCGTGATATTCACCTATTGCAGTACTCACTTGATTGTAGTGCTCTGGAAGCAAACCTGTAGTATCTCCAGGAAGTGAAGGAAGGAGGCTTGCAGAAAAGGCGCCCTCTGAGCAGTGACAGAAGGGAGGATTGTGCTATGGCCCATGGGGGAGGAGCACTCCAGGTGATGGTCATGGCTTCATCTGCTGATGGGCACTCTGTTCCTTGACCCCCAGTACCCCCCAGGCATGCGACAGCAGGTGTTCCAGTTCTTCAGCAAGGTTCTGGCCCAGGTGCAGCACCCCCTCCTGCATTACCTCAACGTCCACAGGCCTGTGCAGGTGAGGGACCAAGAAACTAAGGGGTGTCTGAGGGTCAAGCCCTTCTCCTCCCTGCTACCCCATTCCCTTCTGTTTCTATCTTGCCTCCCTTCTAGAAGCTTCTCCGACTTGGTGGGACAGTTCCTGGATCCCAAACAGAAAAGGAGGAGGTGCAGTTCACCACCGTTCTCTGCTCCAAGATCCAACAGGATCCAGCCCTGCTCACCTACATCCTGGAAGTGAGCACCTCTGTGGGGAACAGAAGCGGGCGGGCCCAGACCCCAGGGCAGACCCCTGTGGCCCTTCTGAGGAAGTAGAGGATGGAGCAGGTACTCAGGCACCTAGGCGGCTTCCTCTCTAGCTCCACGCCGAGGCCCTGCCAGCCAGTGTGCAGCCTGTATTCCCAAGGGGGCATCATGGGGAATGGTCTGTACCATGAGCTGGCCTCATGCAACCTTCTTTGCAGGGTAAAAAGATTGTCAGTAGGAAGAAGTCATCCAAAGAACCCATCACCCTGCCTAGAGAGGCAGCCAGCATCCAAGACAAGGACCACCCCCACAGCAAGTCTCCTGACCTGAGTCCCTGTAAGGCCCAGGCCTTGACCGCCCAGCTGCCTGCTGAGACGGAGGAGCCAGATGGAGGAGTTGGGGAAAGCAACCTGATCACCTCTCTGATCGGGTTGTGCAAGAGCAAGGTGCTAGCTGCACACAGAGTGGGCAGGGGTGGGGAGGGTGAACTGCTGGGAGGGGATCTGGGGGCTCAGATGTATGTCCCTGAAGTTGTACCCCTACCCCTAGAAAGGTCGGGTGGCTCTGAAGGCCCAGGAGAACCTGCTGCTCCTGGTAAGTGTGGCTTCACAAGCAGCTGCCACCTACCTGGTGCACAGCAGCCCTTGCTGCCCTGCCATCGTCGAACACCTCTGCCAGCTGTACCAGTCCATGCCCACCTTCCTGGACCCCGCAGACATTGCCGCTTTAGAGGGCATCAGCTGGAGGTAGGCACTTGGCCAGGGAAAGCAGGGCTACATCTTCAGTGGCTAGCAGCCCTCCCTGTCCTCTGGTAGCCACTCCTCTGATTTCCCAGGAGGGATGGGGACCCCTGCTGGCCACCCTCTTCCTGAGGGTATAGCCCAACCCAGCCCATCCCAGCTTTCCCTTGAGGAAAACACCACTTTTGCTTCTGTACCTGATCTCCCAGCAACAGTGGTTGCAGGGAGAAGGGGCCCAGATTCCAGAAGGTACCTGAGGCAGGCCTCCCAGCTCCTTTCTTGCTTCCCCCTTCAGGTTGCCCAGTGCCCCGTCTGATGAGGCTTCCTTCCCTGGCAAGGAGGCCTTGGCTGCCTTTTTGGGCTGGTTTGATTACTGCGACCATCTCATCACAGAGGCACACGTGGTGAGCAGGGGTGGACATCAACAGGGCTCTCTGTGGGGGTGCCCCGCGGTTCACCCCACTCTCTTCACTGCATCCACCTTGAGGAACAAGTAGGTCTCTCAGGAACTAGGGCCCCAGGTCTGCCTGTTATGTTAGACACTGTGCAAGGACACAGTTATTTCTCAGTGGAAAGCACTCGTGGGGTAAAATGTGTTTAATACATGCTCTTTGGCACCCAGGTGGTTGCAGACGCCTTGGCAAAGGCTGTAGCTGAGAAATTATTCATGGAGATTCTGCAGCCCCACCTCCTGCATGTGTAAGTTTATGTCCAGTCCCCTTGGGCATGGCCATGGTCTGGATCCAGCTGCCCCTCCCCACCAAACCTTTTCCTGTCCCTAAGGCCAGGGACCTCCTTGGCCAGAGTCACATGGGTCTGTGGGCTCCATGGTTAATGTTTGCCAGGTTTGGCCCCCTGACACACGTGGCTCAGAGCCACATGGGCTGACAAAGTCCTCCCGCTCCTGGACTCTAGGACCTCAGGAGGGCTAGGGAGCGAGAAATATAAGCCAAGATGTAAGGAAACCAGGAAGGGGTTCTGTCAGCACCACATTCATTCTCTCCTAGCTGCCTCTTTGGTCTTACGTCCCCTGTCTGGCTTTCAGACCCCAGGCCTGGCTCAGTGCTCTTTCCCTGTAGTTTTTTTTTTTTCAAGTTTATTTATTTATTTCTTTTGAAAGAGAGGGAGTACGAGCGAGCAGGAGAGGGACGGGGGGGGGGGAGAGAGAATCCCAAGCAGGCTCTGCACTGACAGTTGTCCAGTTGTCCAGACGCTAACTGACTAAGCCACCAGGTGCCCCTGTCTCCCTGTAGTTCTGAGCAGAGTGTGCTGACCTCCACCGCCTTGCTCACGGCCATGCTGCGCCAGCTCCGCTCCCCTGCGCTGCTGCGAGAGGCTGTGGCTTTCCTCCTGGGTGCAGACCCGCAGCCCGCAGCCCCCGAAGATGGCCCCCGCACTCTGTGCGCTCACCTCATCGGGCACTGCGATCACCTCTCTGATGAGGTGAGGTGGGGCAGGAGGGGGCTTATCCTACTGCCTCCCATCAACCCAAGGGATTTCCTGCATGCTTCTTCCCACTGTCGTTAGCTTACCTTGAGGCATTGGAACTCCTACCTGCGCCCCCAACAGTGACATGGTCATGGCGGCCAGACTGCTTTTGTCACATAGTTTTCTGTGATCGCATACTTGCCATGTGACTTGATATTTTCCAGACGTATTTCATATTCATTTGGCTTGTTTGAGGCTTACATCCACTCTGAGCTAGGTGAGGCCGATATTCCATTTTGCAAACATGGAAACTGAGACACAGAAAAGCCAGTTGGCTTACCCGATAGCACACATCAAATTAGTAACAGAACCAGCACCAGGCAGACTCCTGGCTCCTAGACCAGCACCCACCCACTCCCCCCAAACCCTGCTGTCTGATCTTTCTTATCCGAGTGAGCAATTCCTAGGTACGCCTGCTGACCCTTTCTTACCCAGATCAGCATCACCACGCTGCGGCTGTTTGAGGAGCTGCTCCAGAAGCCACACGAGCAGGTCCTCCGCAGCCTGGTCCTCTGCAACCTCGAGGGCCGCCATTATGTGGCCCGAGGCTCACCTGAGCCCGAGAGCTACGAGGACACCCTGTAAGTGAAACCTTGTTCCTCTGGGAAGCCTCAGGCTGCCCAGGACCCATTACGGCCCTCAGTACCCCCACACTTATTCATTTATTCCTTGGTACCACTCGTCTGCCCTGGCCACAGAGATCTGGAGGAAGACCCCTACTTCACGGACGGCTTCCTCAACTCCAGCTTTCAACCCTCTGCAAAGCCTCCCCCAGCCCCTGCCACCAACTCAGATGGCAAAACAGCAGTGACCGAGATCGTCAACAGGTAGGGAGCTGGTCAGGAAATCTAAGTCACTTGAGGTTTGTTTGTTCTATCTTTGGCCATAGCCCCGATGGGGGGCAGCCCAGGAGGGAGTGTTCCCTCAGGGCTGGAGAGGGGGAAGGGAAAGACAGAGCAGCCCAGCCGGAGCCCCTCCACACCTAGGGTCCTGTCTCTCAGTTTCCTCTGCCTGGTTCCCGAGGAAGCCAAGACCTCAGCTTTCCTAGAGGAGACTGGATATGACACGTACGTCCACGATGCTTATGGACTGGTAAGTGTTGAAGCTTCTGCCAACATCCACTTCTCATCCCTCAAAGCCGTGGTATTGATAAATTCCACCTTCTCCCTCTGTGATCTCTCTCTCTTCCCTGCTCCGGCCAAGAACCTCGAGTGTATCCTTCCCACATGGCTTCCTCTGCCTGTGGGTGCCTCCTGACCACTGGGCTCACCTCCTCAACTCTCACTTCTGTTTCAGTTCCAGGAGTGCAGCTCCCGAGTCTCCCCTTGGGGCTGGCCCCTCGGTCCCACACCCCTGGACCCCCATGAGCCTGAACGGCCTTTCTTTGAGGGTCACTTCCTCCGAATGCTGTTTGACCGCATGTCCCGGATTTTGGAACAGGTAGTCAACAGGACTGGGCCCTGGCTACAAGGTTACAAGGTGAGGGCCCACAGGAAAACTCGAGGCAGTTTGCCTCTGGAGTCCTTCAGGAGAGTGGCCTGGCCCTGGGGGTCGAGCCCTCTTTGGTTCTTCAGCTCCACACTCTCCTTCCCCCAACCCCTCCCCTCTCCATTCTCCAGGCAGGAAGCCCCATCTTGCCTCTGCTCCACACGCCCTAACATGTTCTGGCCCTCAGCCCCAGGGAATCCATGACACACACACATCACGTGAGACTCCCACCCCCGCACACGTTCACACTGGCCAGGCGCCTGGCTGGGGGAGTGCAAAAATGCTCACCGCCCCCTGCCAACCCTCAGCTTGTCCACTGTGTTCCCTACAGCCATACAGCCTGAACCTGCAAGTGACCTCAGTCCTGTCCCGGCTTGCCCTCTTCCCCCACCCCCTTATCCATGAGTATCTCCTGGATCCCTACATCAACCTGGCCCCTGGGTGCAGGAGTCTGTTCTCTGTGCTTGTCAGGGTAAGGATGCCGGAGCCAAAGGGCGTGTGTCGCTGGTGGTGCAGGAAGGGAGGGCAATGGGACGGGGGTGGGGGGGCTACAGGAGTGGGAACCCTGGCCAGCGCCAGGGGAAGGCACAGGCACACGGCCCCTCCCCTGCCACGGTACTGCAGAGCCAGGGGACCCTGCATGAGTGTCACCACTGCCCCCCTCAGTCCTGTCTCATTCCTGCTCTAGGTGATCGGGGACTTGATGCAGAGAATTCAGAGAGTACCTCAGTTCCCAGGCAAACTGCTCCTGGTACGCAAGCAGCTGATGGGTCAGGTCCCCGGGGAGCAGTAAGTAACCGAGGGAAGCGGTGCCCAAGGATGGACCCTGGGGTGGGAGGGCAGAGTGATCAAGGGAAGTGGGAGGAGCACAGGCCAGGGGGCAAAGAGTTGCCGAACTCCCATCTTCCCTCAGAGGTGTCTGCCATTGGGATGTACCTCATGGACACTGGGTTGTCATCCTGGGTACGCTCCTGCTGCCTCCCAGCTATGACCCCCATGCTGTCTCCCTCAGGCTGGACCACCAGACTCTCCTCCAGGGCGTGGTGGTTCTTGAGGAATTCTGCAAGGAGCTGGCTGCCATCGCTTTTGTCAAGTTCCCCCCGCACAGTCCTCACCTGCACCTGTCCCCGCCCCAGGAAGGGCACGTCTGAGCCAAGAGCAGGACCAGATGGGGGACTCCTGTCCTCACCTCTGCCCAAGAGCTGCCTCCCACCTGGCATGGCTGCCACCTCCCGCCTCCCAGGGTGGGAGCTTGGTTCCACCTCTACATCCCAGGTGCCTCTGCCTCTGAGGAGGCCTGGGCTTCCACTCCCAGGTTAACTCAAGAAGACCGTGGCCTGTCGGTCATACCAGACTGGGTTCAGGGAGTGGGTCTCCAAGGTACCAGAGGCCAAGGAGCAAAAGAGATGGCCTCCCAGACAGCATGGTGTCCTTGGGGCTTTCTCAGGAGAGCTGGGTAATTGCCAGCTGAGCACCCAGACCCAAACCCTCATGTGTTCCGTGCGTGTCACCTGTCTCTACGGACGATTTGTGGCCAGGGCCAAAACCTGTGGCTCAATTCCAGGGGCACAGGGGGAGTGAGTGATGGCTCTCAGGCTGGTCAGAACTGTAGGCCAGAGAGATGGGGGCGTGGGAGCCCTGTCTCTGTCTTGCTAGGTACCACAGATGCTGCTGAGACTTGACATTTTTTCTCCTGCCTTCTTGACTTAACCTGTGGTGAAAGGGCAGTGGATGGCAGAGAAGCCCATTCTCCCTTCCCGGCCCTTTTGGAGGCTGTTGCAAAATTCCCAACCACCTCATGGCAAATGCCCAAAGCATGCTCCGCGCCCAGGCGGGGGCAGCTGCTAATGAGAGCCTTGGTGCAACTGCAGCCAGGGCAGGAGAGGGCTTGGGAAGTGGGGGGCTGGGTGCCAGGCCCTGGCTCCAGCTGGTTTCTCTCTGGCGCCTCTGAACCCGTCTCGGCAGGTCCTCAACACCTGGGCAGAGGGGATCAGAGACCCGGGGAGGCCAGGCCTGGCCCTCCACATCTCACCCAGCCCACAGAGTTCTTGACGGAATACTCTTCCAGGGGAGCAAGGGAGCCAAGGGGAGAGATGAGGCCAGGATGCCCACCTGACCCCAAGCCCCCAAGGCCTAGCGGGGAGGTGCTGGGGCACAGGCAGCCAGTTGTAGTGTTGTTCTCCCTGCATGCCCTTCACAGCTGGGGCTGCCACCCCACCCGGCCCGAATCTGTCTCAACCTGCAGGAACACACAGGCGGCGCCAGGCATTACCTCACAGCAGGACTGCAGTGGCTGGCTTCGCTCCTGGGCAAGGAGGAGCAGGCCAGAGCCCCTTTCGCTTCCTTTTCCTGCCTATGCCGCTTCTAGAAGCCGGCCGCAGGTTGCCAGGAGGTGACATGAAAGAGGAGGAACTCAGTGACCTCTCCCTCTCCTGCATTCCTCCAAGCTGGGGAGGACTTAACTGCCGCTCTGAAGGACACCGTACATGTGCGTGCATGCGTGTGTGCGCACGTGGGTGTTGGCGTGGGACGGGAGCAGAGCTCATGGGGCAAATTGGGTCTGAACTCTTCAAGTCAGAAAACATTTGAGCATCCGGGAGTCACAGATCCTCCCCTCCTCCATCCCCCTCAGCATTCGCACTGCGTCCCCCCAGACAACACAGCAATCAATGGTTTGGTTGCGTGGGCACAGCTGCCCCGATCTCCACTGTTCGTGTCCTCCTGCGCAGGCCTCCACTGCTCATTCAGGCCCATCTTCCTCCCTGAGAATGACAAATTCCTTTTCCAGCACTAGAGCGGAGGGGGGCAGTGTGCTGGGGGGCGGGTGGTAAATAGAGACAGGCTCTGGCAGCGCAAATCTGATGTTCCTCTGCGCCTGCCAGGAACCAGGCTCTCTCTTGGCCAAGCCACACTATTTCTGCCCAGCTTACCTACAGCCGAGAGCCAGCTAGCCTTGGAGACTCCGGGAAAGAATGGGCCATCTGAAGCATCTGTATGCAAGTCTCATTTTGAGGTTTGTATGTTGGGAATTGTATGAATGCTTTAGAGGACTTCATATTTTAAAAACTTGGTCCCTAAATGTATGCGTGTGGGGGTGCGCTCAGGAGGGGTAGCTGAGAGAACTCCAGGAGAGAGCAAGTTGGAAACTTGGAGAGGGCTGCTGAGTGGCTCTCACCTCAGTGCATGTCAGAATCACTTGATTTGCTTTTTACAATACCAGTGAAAGCTGTCTCTGGGGGGCGGCCCAGCATTGTTACTAAAGCTCTCCAGGTGATTCTAATGGGCACCCAGGGTTGAAAACTACTATAGGCTAAAGTGGGAGCAAAGTTTGCCCTTCGACATGGATATAGACTGGTGGGTCCCTCAGACCCTGAGAGAAGTGAACCAGAGTGAAAGGGTTTGGTTCCATCATGTGGGAGATGTTTGTCCTCAGAGGGGACAAAAGGATTCCTACCACAGCCTAATGCTAGAAAAGATGGCAGGGGGAGGGGATGGGAAGGGGGCCTTGGAGGTTATCCTGGGTCTTCAGTGTCAGAATGGAGTTACCTCAGAAGGGAAGCCTCATCAAGTGTTTCCTTGCTCAGAACCAGAAATCTGTATTACATCCATTGAGTAGCACACGATATATTTTCTTTGTTCACTTCCTGTGGGTTTTTTCCTTAAATTTTAGTAAAGTTCTTTTAAAAAAAAAATTTTTTTTTTTTTTTAAATCAAGATTCTTCTGAACTGAAGGGAAATGAATAAAAGGTTTTGGTCTGGCTTGGTCTGGAGTTGAATGGCAGAGGCAGGAGCCTAGAGGTAGGCAGAGTGATGCAGGGAGGGGACAGGGAAGCCCAAAGAGATGAAACTGCTGAGAGGCAGGGCCAGCTTTCACAACTCCTTGCCCCCCTTGGAGTTTCTGGTGTTCTCACAGCTCAAACCTTGGAGGGGATGTGGACACCTCGCACCATGGCAGACAAGAGAAAGAGAATCCCACTGGGCCACAGACGCTACAGTGGGTGGCAGGAAGTCGGCCTGCCCCAGTCCTACAAGTGGGGGACACGGGCCTGCTGTCTGGGAAGACGTGGGGGGCGGTGGTGGGACAAGGGGAGGAGCTTCTTTTTTGATGTGCTCCCCTCTTCCTGTTCACTCCCTCTCCACAGAGACATTTAGGCAGGAAAGCAAAGTAAGTACCACGTATTTACTCAGCAAGGGGCCCACTCCCTTGGAATGACCTCCCTCAGCACCCAGTCCATGTTCTCAGCGCCTGAGAATCAGATGTAGGCCTTTCCTGAGGCAAGCATGGAAAATGACAAGTAGGTTCATGATGACGAGTAGCCATCTCACGTTCAGAAGGTTCTCACATCCATCCCCTTAGGGAGGAGGGCCCTCATCGGTACCCATGGGGCAATTAGGTCCTTGAGCTCTGGAATCCTTGTTGGGTTAAAGGCACTGTCCTTTCAGTGCGATGTAGGGACCAGCTCCATGGAGAAGGAAATTCCCCTGACAACCAGGGGACCAGACAACCTGCCTGCTCCCAACACCACCAGATCCCTGACTGCCAACCTCCTGCTTCCCCCAGAGGAAAGCAAAGCCACGGTGGGGGGAGCACCGTCACCCAGCTCCTTGCACAGAGATGGCACCTTCCTATCTGTTGACTGGGACGACAGAGGATTCCCGAAGCCTCTGTAAGAGTTGGCTTTGTAGGTCTTCCTCCATCACCTTCCACCAAAAAAAGTTCTCACCCCGAACCTTTGGGGGCTCCCTCTGCATACCTGGGTTCCGAAAAGCCACAGTCACCAGCACATTCAAGCAGATGCCATCTGCATGGTCTTTGCCCAGGTGCTGCAGTCCAAGCAACCCCTTGGTCTCTACTGCCAAGTGGTGAAGGGTCAGACACTCCTGTAGCAGCCGCAGGATGGCCATCTTGATGCCACCCCTCTGCTCCATGGGAGTGAAGCCACAGGCAGTGATGGGCAAGTGAGGCATCCCCACTGTGCCCACCAGCACCCACACTGTCTGGACGCTGGTAAAGGTGGCCACAAGCCGCTGGCAGACCAGACTGCAGGGAAGCTCCTGGGGCAGAATAAGAGGGTGCCTGGCTTGCTGGCGGTACTGGGCAGCTAACTCCACCAGGTGCAGAATGTCCTGGGCTCGCAGCGGAGTGGGCAGGGAGGTCCGAGGGTACCAGCCAGCCTGCAGGGACTCTGCATCTGCCTCCTTGGGAGTCTTGAGAATTCCACCTGCAGGGATGTCGAGGATGGGGTGGAGGAAAGGGTCTCTGTTGAGAGAAATGCTGGGCCTGGCGGAGTAAATGGCCACCCAGGCATTTTAGCCCTGACCCAGGGTCATGGGGCTGTGGGGGCTGGGGGTCAAATCTTCAGGCTGGAATCTGGAGATGCCAGGCTTGTACCAGACAGAATAAGGGGCTCATCTCACCAGAGGACAAGTTGGGGGAAAGGTGTCAACTGCCCCCTGCCAAACACTGCCACCAGGTGGGCCATACCTGTGGCTTGAGCGAGGAACACAAAGCGGATCCAGGAGGGGCCCCGCTCCTCCAAAGACAGCAACGTCAGAGGCTCACAGTGCAGCCCAGCCTCTTCCTTCACCTCCCGCTGCAGTGCCTCAACGATGGTCTCCCCAGGCTCCATTCTCCCCGCGGGTAGGTACCAGGACCCACGGCACTCTTTCTTGGCCTCCTGGATCAGTAGCACCTCATCCTGAGGGGAGAGAGAGGATCCTCACCCCCACCACAGCTGGGCTGGGAACCTTCCCTTGCCCTGGGGTTAGATCCTAGCTCAGAGTCACCCAACACCCCCTTACTGGTGGATACCTCAAATTGTTGACTGGTCCTTGTGTGCTTGGGGGCTGCAGCTGTCTCGCTGTGCAATGTATCCCTCTTTGCTTTCAGACTTCCATTTCAGAAAGGGGCTAAGATTCCTGGGAGCTGTTTCAGGGGCTGGGGATTAGGCCCCACAGTGAGGCTTGCCATGTATCCTGCGCTGACTCCTGTCTGTAGATGCATTGTAGACATCCCCCCTCCCCTCATGGAGGGGCCTCACACTGGGGCCTAGGCTTTGAAACACACTCCCAGGCCCCACCCCATAAACTCCTACCTACAGCCCTGGCCCCTTCTAGCTGTTGTTGCAGCAACTTGTACAGGGATCAGCACAAAAGAACATCACACGGTGGGGCAGAAAGTCTGAGTATAAGTGCAGGTTGTGCCATTACTGTCCATGGGACCCAGAGGTCTCTGAAGCACTGGACAGATCTGAGCCCACTCCGAGGCGGGCACTATGCTAGATTCTGGGGAAAGAAGGCAGCCCTCCTCTCAAGACAGTGAGGCCTAGCGAGAGGAAATAAACAGGCTCCTGGGCCTCAGATCCCTCTTCTGAGGGTACAGTCTCGGGGCTGGGCCGCACAAAACTCAGATGTAAGTGTGAGTGTCAGTGCTTTGCAAAACTGGGAAGCACCACGCACTAAGAAGCGGTGGCTCTTGTCGGTAGGTCCTCTGTCCCCACCGGGGCTGGCTGCGTGCTCCAGAGGGCCTGGCGCTGGGCCCGGCGGGCGGACGCTCACCTGCTCGTTGAGGAACACGGCCAGCACCACGTAGCAGACGTTCTTCCGCAGCCGCACCGGCGCCGGCGGCTCCTCGGCCGGTTCCGAGTCACAGCTGTGCACACTCAGCCCCTGGCCCCCCAACACCGCCGCCAGCGCCCCGGCCAGACCCTCCGAGGCCATCGGGTCCCCTGGGAGGCAGCGGACGGGCCCCCGCAGGTGGGTCGCACCGGGTGGGGTGGGACGCGGTTGAGATCCCAGTCAGTCGCCCTCGCCCCCTCCCCCTGCCGACTCGGACCAGGCGCGCTCGAGAACGCGGAAGCGCCCGGCGAGCCCTGTCCGCTGATAGGCTACGCGTCACCGCGGGCTGCCCGGATTGGCTGGCTCGCGTCAGAGACTGAGGGGGCGGGGCCAGTCCGTAAGGGGTCTAGGAGCCAGGTCTGAGTGGTGCGCGCAGCGCCCTGACCTCTGCCTCTCAGCTCCCGCCCCCCCCCCGCCCCGCCCCGCCCCGGCCTCTCTCCGGCATTTCTAGCTGCCAGCTTCGCTAATTCCTCCAGCAAGCACTTGTCTGGGCGAGTTCGGACGGTGACGTCATCGTGCCTGCAGGCTGCAGAGGAGCGCCACAGTGGCCAGCGACGATGACGTCACAGCAAGCCGATGACATCACTGAGGCCCGGCGCTGTGGCTTGGACCTATACTGTGCAGCTGTGGTTATACACCTACCATGGTATTGCCCAAATTGATCACTTCCCAAATAACCTTCTTTCTTCACTAAAAATGTACCTCATGTCACTGTCACAGGAGGAAGAGTAGCTCCTGCCTTGGAGGAGATTCTGACCTTAGGAAGGTGGACATAAACATATAATAAAAAGTCATCTGAGGGTTATAAGCCAAGTGCTAAATGATTGGCTTGGTCAAGAGGTGTGACAGGTGCTCAGAGGAAGGAGGAAGCAGGGGCTGAATGGTCCAAGGTGTGGCTGGAGATGGGAGGAAGGGACTGGGGATAGAAAGAAGGTCTGGAATCAGCCAGTCCAGCCTTCATCGATGTCCTGGCGGCCTGCCCACTGCATTTTACAGTTTGGGGCCCTCTCACTGCAGACTGAAAACTGTGGAGGTGAGGTTAGTCCTGCTCCTTGCATCTTGTCCCCCGCCCCACACACGCAGCTCACACAGCCTGGTGGCCTGGCACAATGAGAGCAGGGTGTGGGTTGTTTCTTGAATTCTTACTTCTCTCCCAGACTGACCTTTCCTCTCCAGGCACCCTTAACTTCCTACTCTCAGGACGGTAAGTTGGAGCCAGCTGGAGTGAAACTGTGGCTCCAGCCAGCTTTGGGCTTCTTGTCTCAGTTGGTCTCTCCCTTCCCCTGCCTGCTGGCTTTGTGCACTTTCCTTTTGGGGCTTGGTGCAGGCAAAGCATTGGACTTGGAAGCAGATGTCTGGCCACTGCTCACTGGCAGCTATGTGCTTGTAAATTGTGGGCCTCCAGTTTCCTCATCTGAGCTTAGTAGATTCATAGTAGCTCTTCTTTCACAGAAGTTATTGGGAAGGTGAATGTCATGGGAGGAGCTCTATAGACTGTCAGTGTGGTCACTTGACCAGGCAGCATCAGTCAAGGTCCTCCTGACACAGCTCTTGTTGCTGCCACACAAAGGAAACCCACTGTCATGAAATATATGCCTACCCTCAGAATTCCAGTCACCACCAGATTGGCCTCGTTAGGCCTTTCTCTCCCAGGGAACTGACTGCAGGTTCCCTGGGAGCCTACCGTGAGGTGGGATGTCCCTGCCAGGCCCACAGTCTTTTTTTGAAGTACTTGGCAAACACTGCTGCCCCCCAGCCCCCTATCAAGACCTCTCCCTCCCAAACAACGGAACTCACGGGACTGAGTCAGGCCCTAGGACTGAAAAAGCAACTTATCCTTGTGTTGCTGTGTGTGTGTGTGTGTGTGTGTGTGTGTGTGTGTGTGTGTGTCCTGGTCAGTTTCCACATCTGTGAAGTGGGGACTACACATTGTCCCAGACTCCTTTCTGCCTCCCCAGGATGATTTGAGAGAGAATGAGGTCATGTCTGGCAGGGCTGCTGCTGTGAGCCTCAGAGGCAGCCTAAGATAAACACCAGGCAACCTGGAGAGCAGCTGCAAGAAACCACGGCTCCAGCCATCACTGGAAAACACTCCTCCCCTGTTAAGTGGGTTCTAATCACCCCTGTGGTGAGGAACACAAGGGCAACAGGAGAAAGCCCTTGTAAACTGAGAAGGGCTAAGCAGGCAGAGGGCTCTCCAGGCACTGTGCCCAGCCCCTTCTGGGAGTGCAGAGGGACAACAAGTGAACTTTCTCTCAAAGGCATTGGGTGGAAGACAGAACACACCAGACTAAGCAGAGGCCCTAAGACTGACAAAGAAAAGCTGGGGAGGAAGAGGGGGGGCTGAGGGAGAAGCCTCAGGAGCCAGAAATAAAAGTTCTTTGTTGGTGGTAAGTTTGCTCTCTCCATTTTCAGAAGGCAGAACACTGGTGGGGGGTGGGGGGGGTGACTTGGCTGCACCAACATGATGGACAAGTGTGGCCAAACTGGTGATCTGAGTACAGGACTCCCAGCATCCATGGGAGCAAAGCCTGAGGCAGTGATTTCAGAGCACGTGGACACACATGCGCGTGTGAGCACATGTACAGAAAGGCAGTGTAGGCAATCTTGGAAACAGGGCCAGGGATGGGCAGGCAGGGTGGGGCAAGGGTGTCTGTGATTCTGGAGGCCTTTACAGAGCAACAAATGCCGTCCCTCTGCAAAGTAGGAGTGTGAGGAGGGCAGCAGCCCAAGGTATACAGGGAGGGGGAGGTTTGGCTCAGCCTGTGCTCTGCCACTAGCTGGCTGAATGACCTTGGGAGAGCCACATCTCCCCTCTAGGCCTTCTGTATCATGCAGGCATAGGTGGATCCTGAAACAGAAAAAGGACATTAGTGGAAAACTGGTGAAATCCCAAAATTCTGTTGCTTAGTTAATAGTGTTGTATCAATAGGGGCGCCTGGGTGGCTCAGTCGGTTGAGCGTTTTTCAGCTCAGGTCATGATCTCAGGGTTTGTGGGTTCAAACCCCGTGTTGGGCTCTGTGCTGACAGCTCAGAGCCTGGAGCCTGCTTTGGACTCTGTATCTTCTCTGCCCCATCCCTACTCACACTCTGTCTCCCTCTGTCTCTCAAAAATAAATAAATATTTTTTAAAATGTTTAGTGTGTCAATAATGATTTCTTCGTTTTGATCACTGTGCCATGTTTGTGTAAGATGTTAACATGGGACAAAGCTGGATGCAGGGTAATCAGGAAATTCCTGTGCTATCTTTGTGACTTGAGTGTAAATCTAAAATCATTTCAAAATAAAAACTCTGAAAAGGTACTTTATAAGAAAAAAGAAAAAGGCAGCACTGCTTATCTACATGCTGATGTCACTTCCGGCGCTGAGGGTTGTGCTTCTGTGTTATCTGGGCGAGTGAGAGGGGCTGGAGTAGACAGTGGACAGCAGGGATGCTGGGAGAAGCAGAGACCCCAAGGGCAGTGCTGGACTGGGGTGAGCCAGCTGAGCCTCCATGAGGAACAGTGCCACCAAGTGCCCCCAGACGTCTCAGGGTCAGTACCCACCTGGACTGGCTTCATGCCCAGGGCCAGTCCTAGAACATTTGGTCCACCTGCTGTTTGCAAGAGTCAGATCCAATATGCACTCGAGGGTGCTGTGACCTGCCATGAGATGGAGGCAGCAGAGAGGTGTGCAGAAAAGAGAGGCCTGGTGACTGGGCTATCTCTGTCTTCCTGCAGGAAGGACCCCATGTTTGGGGTTCTAGGGTGACATTAGGACATAGCTATATAAGGTGAAGTGTAAGTAGGGATGGTCGTGCAGTGCCACTTGGAACATGATCAACTGTAAAGTGTGTGTGTTGGAAGGAGGACAGAACAGCAAGCTCATCTGCAAAGTCCATTAAGGGCCGAAACTAATGTAAACGAGGCTCAAGTCCGGAAGCTTGGTTCAAATCCCAATCCTGCCACTAAAATTGCTGCGTGACCTTGGGTGACTTAACCCCAGCCTGCCTCTTTCCTCTCTGTAAAATATAAATAAATAATATCTACCTCAAAACCATGATAAGGGATTAAATGAGATCAATTAAATGAAAACAGTGGCAAAGTGTAGGACTGCTTCCATTTTTTCTTCTCTCTCTATCCCATGATAGAATGAAAATAACCTTGCTTTGCAAACAATGAAGAAACCTAATTTTTTAGGTGCAGGATGGTTATGTAAACCACAGCAAAGCCACATAAGGGAATATAAGCAGCTATTTAAAATGAAGGTTGCATAGCAACACAGAAAATGACCACAACACAGTGTTGAAAGGAAAAATCAAGTACAAAACGCATCAGTTCAATCATGTATGAAACCCTTAGAGAAAATACAAGGAAATACACCAATAATGCTAACAGTGGTTGGGTCGGGGTGAGTGGAGATGAGCTTACAAGTGACTTTTTCCTATTTTCTAAATGTTCTGAAAGTATATTAAATTTATAATAAAAAATTTTATTTCATAAAAAACAAAAAAACCCACTCCCCGAACCACCGCAGGAACAATTAGGTATAACAAGAGCTGGAGTATGCTGGCGCTAAGATGTACAAGGGCAGCGGAGCGGGCTGAGCCACCCCGGAGGGCCCTGGGGGCGGGGAGGGGCCCATCAACTGTCTCTCGGGCAGCAAGCCAGTCCCCGGGTAGCGGGCCTGGGGCCAGCCGCGGGCACTGAGGGCAGACGGCTAGGCAAGGGCTCTCCTGGGCCGCACTCCCAGTGCTCCAGGTCAGGGCAGACAGGAGAGCTGGGGTAGCCTGAAGTTTGCCCGCGGGTTGGGGCTCTAGATCTCTGCAGCCAGTGTGCACAGGAAAGCTGCCATGCTGCTGCACCCCAGGGTGCCTTGCCCACCGTCTGCTGTCAGGAGCATCCTCAGGGGCAGACCCCTGGAATGTTCCATCTGCTCCTCAGTGGGAAAAGGATCCAGGCCCCAGGAAGAAGAGTAGGCAGGGGTGTTTGAGGTCCCTGTCATCACCCCCACCCCTGCCCCACTCCACTTCCTTATCTCCCCACCCCTCCCCAGTCCATGTGGCCTGCAGGAGCAGGGCCAACCACTCCAGCAGCATTCACAGAACAACAGACTTTAATGGAAATCATGAAGGAGGGAGGTGAGAAGAGGGAGCAGGAACAGGGCATCACCCATATCATTCCCTCCAGCCAAGCCTGGGCAATGTTCTGATGCCACCCTCTCCCCACACCTCACTGTTCTCTGGCGAGAGGGCAGGATTTCAGTGGCCCCTTGTCCAGCATGCCTGCAGTGTGAAGGGCCACCCGGGAGCCCAGTGAAGATGCAGGTGGTGTAAGCAGAGCACGGGCACAGGTGGGACAGCAGGGGATGAGGCAGCAGAAGAAGGTGTTGCTTAAGCCAGAATGATTCCCGAGGTGCCCCAGGGAAGGGCTGTTTGCCTCCTGGGTTCAGGGGGCAAGGGTTGAAGGGAGTCATTCACCCCCAGTGTGGGCCTGGTACCATGGCAAGAGATGCAGGGACAGCAGGTGCCAGCCTGCGAAGGGCAGGTGTGAGCTTCAACGGCACTGTGGTTGCTGGCTGTAGGGCCTAGGTTGGAGCGGGGAACAGGGTGCCCTGTCTGTGCCCAGAGTGGTGCTTGAGGGATTGACCAAAAGTCCCCAATTATCCCAGCATCATTATCTGCTGAAGCTGTGCCTGGACTGAGTATTTGCCCCCCAACCTACCCCAGACACTGGGGATACCCCTATTTAGCCTCCTGTAATGTTCCCACAGCCACCTTCACTGCTTGGAACACAGCCCAGTCCATCTAGGAGAAAAAGAGAGGACAAGGTGTTTACAGTCACATTCCTGGGCTCTTCCCACTGAGGATGCCCTTCCTAGGCCCCGGCTGGCTGCTTGCTTGGCACAGAGTAGATCTGCTATGCCACCCCAACTGCCCTCCTGGCCAGTGTCACACTCACCTGGGCATAAAGCAGGCGGTGATCAGGGGGCAGGCTGGGTCCCTGGTGGCAGAGCTGAGCAGAGAGGGCAGAGGTCTCCGGGGACAGGAAGTGCTGAGTGACACTCACTGTGCTTACTAGGCCCTGTACCTGTGCCAGACAGGAGGTAGGCAGAGGGTCAGTGGAGACTCGGGCTCACACATCCTCCCCTTGCCCCTCTTGTCCCTGAGGTCTACTTCCCATAATGACCCCCACCCAGCTCTCAGAGAGCAGAAGCCCTGGATCCAGCACCAGGCACCTCAAAGGGCAAGGCCAAAACCAAGCCCAGGGGATGCCAGAGGTGGCACAGGCAGGGTGGGGAACCGAGGACAAGAAGCTCAGTTGGGCTAGATGACTTCAAGACCACTCAGCTTCTCCTCTTCCTTACAACAGGGCATGACTTCCTGCCCTGCCTAGCTCTCAGGGCATCGGGAGGGGCAAAGACAGAGCAGGCCGGGGAACACTGTATCACTGTGGTGTCTGCTCTTGGCGCTTCGCATAGTGTGAGCTCTCTGCAGAGCCCCTGGCTTGCTGGGGAAGCACCTGGTGGGGAGCCCCCGCAGGCACCAGCACAGCCTCTCCAGGGGCCTGCAGCAGGGTCCAGCAGCTCACGCCCCATTCCTCCCGTAGGCGCCGCCGCAGGCCTGCGTCCAGGTAGCAGCTGCCCGGGGTGCCAGGCTCCAGGTTGCCTGCTCCAGCCGGGCACACCTCAAAGAAGAGAAGGCAGAATGAGGAAGGTAGGGAAACAAGGACAGGGCTGCCGGATGGGGCACAGACTTCCCAAAGGTCAGGGCGCAAAGGCCAAGAGCTGAAGGGGTCAAGTCTTGCGGGGCAAGGAGGGGAGGTCATAGGAGTGGGAGAAGGGGCTGGGTGGTGAGAAGCTAGGGCTGCTCAGGTTGGCAGAACAGAGATGTGGCTGGAAACAGCTTAGAGGAAAGGTTTAAGGCTCTGAGGCTGGGAGTCTAAACCCCCACCTTTCGTGGGGCTAGATGCCTTCAGTAGCCTCTGTGTCCCTGGTCCTGGGCCCCTTTCTCTAAAACCCAGAAACACATCCTGCATAATCCCAACTCATAAACTGTCTACATGAGGAGATCTTGACTTGGAGTCCTGTGAACGTCCTGAATTGTGTGCTAAGTTGTAGGTGACTAGATGGCTGTATATCCTTGAGATGAGATGATCTAAAGCATTTATCAGATTCTTCTAAGATCCTAGATGCAACAAAGGCCACACAGAAGTTCTGATGCCCAGTGGAAGTACAGCCTTGCCTGCTGGGCTGAGGCCTCTGGAGCAGGCATGGCTATGGGGAGGGGTGGCCTTCATCAGCCCAACCAGAGTGGGGAACTCCTTGGGCACACAGGGATTCACAGGGGACAGAGAAGTAGACGCCCAGGGAATAGCCGTAGGGGTAAATGCCAGCATCGTGCCCCAACTGGCTGCTGGACAAATCCACCCCTTCAGTAGGACCTCAGCAATTGTCCCTGGACTTAGGACTCAGGCTTCCAAGACTGGGCCATGGGGAAAAGGGAGGCTGGTGTGTTAGGCTGGACCCTAGGTAGCCCCAGGCAGGTGCCCAGGCTCTTTTGCCCTCTGAGTGCATCCTGGAGTTCGATCAGTGTTTCCCAGGCCACCCAGTGAGAATATGCCCCTCAAACCTTCTCCATGAATCATCAGGTTTGGCCATATGAGACTGCCTAGAGGAACCACACCCAGACTAGATGAGGCTGTCTATGTATGAAGGTGTGCTTCTGTCTGCTCCCTCTGTGTGTTCTAGCATCTGTGTGTACATCTACAGATCTGTGTGTGTTTATCGATGTGTCTACAGATACACATGCCTGTGGGCAGGAGGGTGGTGGTGGACAGCAAGTTTAACACCTGCATGTCTGTGTATATGTATGTGTGTGCCTTAGCAGGGGTGACACTTGGTGGACGTCTTTTTCCCAGGACAATCAGAGTTCAGCTGGCCTTTGGAACTGCTGTGCCTGTCCTAACCTTAACACTAGCCTTCCACTGCCTTCCACCCCCTGGAGCTTCCTGCCCCCTGCTCATCTTCTCCTTCCCTGCTCCTCATCCTGTCCAGTCTGTCCCTCTACCTACCATGCTGTCTCCCTCAGCCTTCAAGTGCTAGCACCCCAAAGAGCACCTCCTCATAAGGTGTAGACAATGGACAGGGGAGAAGCAGGAGGACATCTCAGATGGGCTTCCCTTTGCCCTCTGCCAGGCCCCCCCCCCTCCACCCCCAGCCTATGCAGGGGATGCTGCCTGCCCCCAGGAGGAGCAGTGTAGTGACCTGAGGTGGGAATAGCCATAAGCTCAGGTCTCCACTCTACCACTTAGCCTCAGTTTCCTCATCTGCAAAATGGGAAAGCAGCAGTGCCTGCCACACAGGGTGGTTATGACGATTAACCGAGATAATGTACCCAAGGCTCTTACACAGTGCCTAGCCTGTGACGGCTCCTGCTTTCATTTCATCATGAGGTCCCTCCTCAGCCCCTGCTCTCTCTGCGTGCCCCAGCACACAACTCATAAGGTCCCAGTCTGCCTTCTCTGTACCTGTCTGTGGGAGTCAAGGCTGTCCAGCTCACCTAAGGGGCAGGGAGAGTGAGCACATGGGACACACACAACAGGGAGGGCTTCCTGGGCTGGGAACCCCGACTCCCAGGGAGCATGAGGGCAGCGCAGGGGAAGAGGGCTCCCAGCTCCTTCCTCACCATCTGGAGAAAGCGGCGGATGCGTTGGGCATCCTGTGCCCGGAACACGTGCCACACGGTGCTGACCTGGCTGCCTGGAGACCAGAGCCCCTCCCCGTCCAGGCCTGAGAGGAAGTCTGTGGAAGAAAAACAGCTCAGGAGGGCCCAGGGTAAGCAGAAACAGCACGCTGAAATCTGCAGATTGTCCCCACTCCTGCTTCTGGCCCAGGACCCACCTTTCTGTGCCCGGTGCCAGGTAGGCAGTGGGGCCTCAGCACGTACCAGGACACTGACCAGGTCAGCCACCTCCACACAGAGGTTCTTGGTTCCCAGGTGCCCACGGTGTGGGCTCACACCTGATGGAGGCAGAAAAGGGACAGCTGGGCACGGGCTCCAGGACTTTGGCACAGACACACATGGGCCCAGAGGTAACAGGAATGGGCTCAGGGGCTGGGCAGGGTGGAGTAGCACTCACCATACGCTGCCCACAGCTGGGGCTCCAGTGGACGCAGGGCAGGACCAGGTGGGAGGTAGGAAGCCAGGTTGAGTTTCCCATGGTGGGCACAGTACTCTGGGAGTGGCAGGCTGGCAGCCAGGTTCTCCATCCTGAAGAGGGCAGGGTCATACCCAGCAGGCTCAACCCAGGCACCCAGATCCCCTCAAAGCCCACCACTAGTGGGGTCACTCCCAGAGGCAAGCAGGGAACACTGAGGTGGGGGTGAAGAAGGAGAAGTGACAGCAAGGGGCTGGGCAGAGCCTCGGCAGGTGGGGCCAGCCCTTGGTACTATACACACCTGCTGGTGTCCTCGTCCCCCAGAGCTCTGTGCAGCAGGAGGACGGAGCCCTCATCTGACTTTGGGCGAACTAGAGGAGGAGACATGCCATTTGCCGGGGGAGGAACCTCCTTGTCCAGAGGACCCCGGCCCCCTGGCAGCAAGACAGTCTAGTTTCTGCCCTGGGCTCTGCTTCCAGCTGCCCCCCAGGGTCACCATGGGACTTCGCTGCCCCCTGGCTCAGTCTCCCAACTCCCCATACCCCACATCAGGGACACTTACTTTCAGGCCTGGAGAATCCCTCCCAGAACGTTGCACTGTGGAGGCTTGTGGGCTGGGGAGGTCCAAGGGGGGTCAGTGCCTGCACTTGGCCTCCAAGTGCTCCAAGAGCTTCCGTCTCCCACAGGTTGCCTTGCAGTGTCCTCTGAATCCCTGACACCAACACGGGCTGTAGTGAGGAAAGGAAGAGGGACGCAGGGAGAATGGACAGGCACCCAACTTGGCCAGGCCAGAGCATGTTGTGAGGGACACCAGACCAGTGTGGGGACCAGCCCCGCTGCTCCTTCTGTGTGATGGACCAGGTCTGCCTGATGGCGACCCTGAGGCCCTGAGGGTGACCAAGGCCATGAGAATGGGGAGCTGGGAGGTGAGGAGCCTCACCTGGCCCTGCCTCCAGTGCTCCTGGAAGAGGTGGAAGCCTCGCTGAGGTCTGGGCTCCTGCAGCCACAGCAAAGCTCCGGGAGGAGGCAGCCGTGGCCGCACTGGCGAGAGGGGTAGGCCCAGGCCTTTGCGCAGGCCTGGCCCAGCCCGCAGCCCCGGCCCCAGGGCTTTCTCCTGGATCTTCCTTTCTACCACCTGTGCGATGATGCTGTCCAGGATGTTGGTGATGCGGTCGTCCTGTGTGAAGGGAGGGATGGAGGAGCAGAACAGCTCAGGACCTGCCTTACCCCACAGGGAGGGCCAGCCCAGCCTCTGTCCCCGGGCCCCCAGGCCTCCCTCTGTGCCCTCGCTCACGCTGGGCAGGGCAGGAGTGACTGGGGCAAAGGCCATGTGTATCCTCTCGTGCCCCAGGCAGAGTTTGACAGCAGTGGAAGCCAGCAGTTCACAGAGAGAGGGACAAGGCAGGGGCCCTCGGCTGGCACGGTCTTCTGCTGGGGTCTCCGTGGAGTCGGGGGTCTCTGGCAGGGAGGAAAATGGTGAGAGGCTTCCCCTTCCCTTCGAGGCTCCACAGCCCATAGGGTCTGCCCTCATCTCTTGGCCAAGTCTGTCTCCCGCTGCCTCTCCAAAGGAGGGGCTCACAGTGGGGTTCTGACTGGACAGGGGTGGGGAGACTTGTCCTAGATTGTATTTAGATTTATTTCATCTGGAATGACTTGAGAAGAGTGAGGAAGATTATTGGGGGCAGGGCGGGGGGGAGGGGTGCGCTGGCTAAAGCAATTCCCATCTGTCCTGGGGATGCCAGCCCTGGCCCAGCCTCCCCATGCACAATGTGAGCGAGGGCCAGGGGGGCTGCTCACCTTCCTTGATGTCCTTGGTCCTGTCAGTATCCCCGTTGCAAGAAGATTGTGGAATTGGGGGAGTTTTCTCTGTCGGCTCCTTCTGTTAAACCCATCCACCAATCCCCCCCAATCCAACCAGAGATTTAAAAATGGCAAACACAGCTCAGTCCAACCCAACCCACAAGTATTAACAACAGACTCTTATAAATCCTAAAACTGTGTTTACAAGGAGCAAAATATTATGTGATATAACATTAGGTGGGAAACAGTTGCTTACGGAATGCCACACACAGTCTGATCTAAGATACACAAAAACAGACTGAATAAATATACAGGCAAGTGCCTGGAAAGAAATATGTCACAATGATAATGGCGGCATTATAGGGCTACTGTTGTTTTCTTCCTATTACTTGCTTGTAGTTTTCACCATGGGTATGTAACACTGTCAGGCACACGAAATGCATTCAATAAGCCATTTCTTGAATGAATGATTTTTATAATAAAAGCATGAACTTTATAAAAAGTTTGTAAAATGCATACTGAGTGCCTGCTATGTGTTAAGTGCAAGGCACACAGGGAAGGTGGGTCCAAACTCCACCTTCAGGAGTCCATGCCGGCTGAGTAGAGAGACAGGACCCGCCAGCAAACGCTAAGCTGTAACGCACACAAGGTGGATAGGAGCTCTGGGCAGGAGCGAGGGAGGTGGGACAGGTGCTAGAGCTCAATCCATGGATCCCAATCCCCAGAGGAAGGTGAGAAGTAGCTTGATTTTACCCAGCTTCCATATCCTTCAGTCCCATCAAAAGATACCGGCCAAACCCTGCCAAGGTCAGTAACTTCCAAACACACTGCCCAATCCTGGGGCCAACCAGCTAGTGCTGGCACCTGTCCCATGCCCTGCTTCTTACCTGCTGGCCCCCATCCCCAGCGGCCCACACCCGGGCATCAGCTTGGCAGGGGCAGTGCCCCCGGATGTCAAACTTGACCCAAACCTGGTGCATGGCGGTGCTCAATTCTGCCAGAGCTGTGAGTGGGGAAGGGAGATAGAGTTTGGTGGTGAGTGTGGACAGGAGGCTGTCCCTGTGCTGCTTGGCCTCACCGAGCAAGAGGGCATGGGATTAGGCTGAGGCACATCCACACAGAAAGCTGCTCTCCCCAGGACCCGCCCTCTGCACACCCCATTTCTCCAAGATGGCTTACCTTGGCTGGAGATGAACTGGGTGAGCATCAGGGAACTGGCACTATGCCCAGCCTCTTGAGGACACTCCTCTGTGGACTGCTCCTGAGAGCCTGTGGGTAGGAAGAGAGAAGGTGCAGGTCAGGAAACCAAAGTAACCACAGCTTAAAGACAGGGAAGAAGGACAAGGGCATGATATCTAAATCAAGGGGCTTGACAATCCATAAAACATGGGCTTTCTAGGAAACTTGGGTTCAAGAGTGACATAGGATCCTTTGCTTGCAGAATGCAGAGCCTTTAAAATGATGATATGCATTGCCAGACTCCAAGATGATCACATAGAATACGGTGTTCTGAAACATTTCTGACCCTGCACCTCCTTTTGGCTATCTCTATTGGAACACTGGGAAATTTTAAGTGTGACTCAGGTGACTGAGTGGAGCCAAGGGAGAAAAAGCTGAGAACCATGAAAAGAGTAAGACTTGGGATTAGAAGACGTGAGTCTGCATCCTGGACCTAACACTTACTAGCTGTGTGACCTTGAACAAGTCACTTAACCTCTCTGAGTTTTTCTTATCTGGAAAATTGAGGCAATAATACCCACCTCACAATGTTGTAAGGTTTAAAAAGATGCAAGCTGAGCAAAGTGGGAGGCATAGAGTAGGCACTCGACTTCTCTTAAGGGTGGGCAAGGACACAGGCGTGGCCCTCTGATCTGGGGAGAGGGAAAAGTCTGCTCTAAGGGGCATTGAGCCATGGTGGCTGAGGCTGGGGCTGGGGAGGGAGGCTTTCTTGGGGACAGGCAGCCAAGAAATGGCCACACACCTTAGAGCAGCCCTTGGAGGCCCCCGTCTCTGCCCTCCCACCCTCAGCCCCCAGCTCCTTTCCTACCTGCTTTGTCCCTGGCCCTCCTAGCACCTGCCATGCGACCACAGGCCACACACAGCCGGTGGCTGCAGTGGGGGCATTTCCAGTGGGTGTTGAAGAGTCCACGATGGCAGCTGCTGCAGCAGAGTGGAATGCTTGGGTTGTCCTCTGTCCTGGTTGGCCCCTGGCCTGCTTACCACGGGAGAGAACAGGGTCAGAGGAGGCTCAAGCCATAGGTCCCTTTTGAGGACCTCCAGGCAGGGATGGAGAAGAGCAGGAGCAGCTTCCACTGTGGGGCCACCCTGGAAGGGAGACAGGCCCCTTGCAGACACCCCCACCTACTCGACAGCCTCTGTAAAGAAACTCCCCACAGCACGTCTCCAGAAAACCCTCCCAGGGAGAGTGCAGGACTCACCTCCCCAATTCCTGCCCCAAGGATTTCCCCATCAGTCCTGAATTACCAATCCACACCATTTCCAACACATTCCTTCACCCACCTCCCTCCCTCCGGAGGTGGCGTTCCTGCAGGAGACTCTGTACACCAGAAGAGGAAACCTTAGGCGGCCACTCCTTCCCTCGCCTGGGGTTTCTGACTAAGCCCTCCGCAGTAGGTGGAAGGACGCCAGTGAGCACACGCTCATTTACTCATGCAACAGACACCTTGTCCTGTGTGGGGCTGAGCGCTGGGGACTCAGAGCTGGTCAGGGCTCAGAGATGCCCTCCTAGCGCTCACATTCCAAGAGGGGAGATGGGCCCATAGACGGGGCAATGACCACGGCACCACGGGGTGAGCGCTGGAGTAGGAGAAAGGGATAGAAAGACGAGGGTAGGATGGTGGGGGCAGCTTCACAAAATGCGCCCCTAGAGTGATGAGTAAGTGTTCATTCATCACGGAGAAAGGGAGGAGAAGGCCATTCCAGACAGAAGGAACAGAAAGTGCCAAGGCCTGAGGGGCTGGGCAAGCCGGGGTGAGCCGAGGAGGACAGGCTGCTGGCTGATGTGGAGTGCTGGGAATCCAGGCTGAGGGAGTGGCAGGCTAGATGGGCTGAGGAAAGGGGGAGGGAGCTGAACTTTCTGGGATAGGAGGGAGCCGGCTTGTGACCTTGCTGCAGGTGTGTGCACACATTTTCAAATGCACATGCAGTGTTGTGAGAGGGAGCAGGAGGGAGAGCCTGAAGCCAGGGGGACCCACGGAATGTCTGGCTCTCCACTGGTGTCTTCACATCAGCCCAGACCCTACTAGCTTTCTTAGGGCCCATTAGCCTCGAAACGCGGGGAGGGCCCTCACCTTCCAGAGTTCGTACATATACCTGGCTCTCAGTCTTGTTCCCCCAACAAACCCAGAAGCTCTTAGGCAGCTGGACTGGACCGGGTTTCACACCCTCCCAACATCCCTCACCCAGGCCAGAAACTTCAGAACTCATGTTAACTAGAAGCCTAAGCCAAGAATAAGGGCAAAGCAGTGCAGGAGCTCTCCTTGAGCCGTTATCAGGACAGACAGTGTTAAGGGGAGGAAGGGGCCCACACTCTGCAGACCTCCTGCTCCTTGTAAAAGCACAGTGACCGCAGGATCCAGCCCTCTCGGGCTCCTGGCTGCCCCACGGGTCCTGCTCACCTTCCCGCTGCGCCCAGGCCAGGGCTTCACGCTCCCTCCGCAGCAGACGGCATAGTCGATCCCCCAAACCACTTAGCAGATGCTTGGCAAGGCCCTTGCTGATCTGGGCCTCAGGGCCAGACCCTCCTCCCTCAGAGCTGACTGCTAAGTCTTCCTCCTGATGCTGTTCCCCTTCCGGAGGCAATCTGAAGACAGGGCACAGGAAGGTAAGGAGGGAGCCCCCACTGGGAAGATGCTGGGGGCACACCGGGGCAACAGGCTCACCTCAGCACTTGCCGGGAGTGGCAGGCCGGCCCTCCCACCTCTCCAGCTGCATGGGTACAGCTTTGGCACTGAGCCACGCATGCCAGAGGAGCCGAACAAGGTGTATCCTGAAGCCCTGGGTCCTGGAGGCTGCTGGCCCTACCATCTTGGGGTCCTGAGGAGACAATGAAGCTGGTCAGGGACTTGCTGGGCTTATGTGAACCCTGGGCTGTGCCTTAGCACTCAGCCCACCCACATACAGAGCCAGCCTAGCCCCTAGGCCCTAGTCTACTAAGCCTGATTTGGAGCTAGTGAAAGTGAACCAGGCAGCCAGAAACTTCACAAAAAAAGGCTGGGCAGGGAGTCTGAGAATGACACGGGCAGATGGCTGAGAGGAGGGGTCTACTGTGCTGGGCCCAAGGCTGGAGCAGGTGGGATGATTATCCTGCCCCAAGTTCAAGATCCAGTCAGTGTAGACTTTGTTATATCTTTTTTTTTTTTTTTTTTTTTTTTTTTTTTTTTTTTTTTTTTTTTTTTTTTTAAAGTAAGCTCTGCCTTTAAAGTAAGCCTCAGTGTGGGGCTTGAACTCACAACCCTGAGATCAAGAGCCACGTGCTTTACCGACTGAGCCAGCCAGGCGTCCCTCAGTCAGTGTAGACTTTTGGATTGCTGCGCCGTGGGCTTAGCAATACCTCTGGCGTCGTGTCAGCCTGAGGAGACAATCCCGGCATGGGACGGAGGGCGCCGGAAGGTGAGAAGGCCTGAGGGTTTCAACATAGGCCACAGGTGCAGTAACCCAAGAAGGGAGAGGGGGCCAACTGCTTCCCAACCCAGGCAGAGGCCTGCAAGAGTGTGGACAGACCCACGCCAGGTGCAGGGGTGCTTAGGCAAGGCCATTGAGAGTTGGGATCCAGGTCCGGCGGTCCTGGAGGCCAAGACTGAGGTGATGGGCCATCAGTGCCGGCTCCCTCCATGAAGAGCACAGCATGACAGAGGGGTTCAGGATGTGCCCAAAGTCCTAATGCTGGCAGAGTCCAAATTGAGTTTCCATGATCCCATTGCCCAAGGGAGTAGTTGTTTATTCCTGGGGCAGGACAAGGGGTCCTTCAGGAGGGATAATCTGCCAGACAGGGTTAAGTGGCACAAGTAAGCACAAAGGCAAATGTTTAGCAGGGCGCCTGGGTGGCTCAGTCGGTTAAGCCTCCAACTTAAGCTCAGGCCATGATCTTGCGGCTCGTGAGTTCGAGCCTTGCATTGGGCTCTGTGCTGACAGCTCAGGGCCTGAAGCCTGCTTTGGATTCTGTGTCTCCCTCTCTCTCTGCCCTTCCCTGGTTCACACTCTGTCTCTCTCTCTTTTCAAAATAAACATTAAAAAAATAATTAAAAAAAAAATGAAGACGAATGTTTACTGAGTCCTTACTCAATAAAGTGCCAGGAATTCTTCAAAGCCCTTTATGTGAATGATATCATTTCATCTTTGCAGCAGTCTTTATGAGGTAGATGCCGTCTTTATCCCCACTTTATAGATGAACAAACTGAGGCCCAGAGAGGTGCAGTAACTAGCCCAAGGTCACATAGCACCAGTCAGCAAAGTCAGGACCCAGGCACTCTGACTCCAGAGCCCATGCTCTGAACCATGTTGTTATATTGCCACCAACACATCATAGCTTGGGAGTAGGCAGATGGGAAGAAGAAGCCACTTTCTAGAAGGCTCTGGCCTGTAGATGCTAATGAACTCCGAGGGAACTATCACATTTCGGTGGGAAACCAGACAACTTGTGCGATCCACTCATAAACACCTCTAATGACCCCACTTCCCCACAAAGCCCCAGTCCCAGCTGCCCCCTCCCAAGCAGGGCCCCGTGCACACTTACCTCTGTGGTCATCATGCTGTTCTGCCTCCACTTTGTTCCCAAAGGATGAGTTGAGGATCTCCTGCCAATCTCTGGCCCCCTGCCCCGCACTGCCTGGGAAAGGGTTGGGTGGGCGCTTGGCAGCTGGGCTGCCACCTGCCCCCTGGACCTCAGGGCTGCTTGCCCTCTTGAGGGCCTGCAGGTGGGCAGATGGGTTCTCCTCAGCGCCAGGGCAGCCACCTGGACACCTGAACTGCTCTGAGTGTCGTGTGAGCCATGTCTTCTTCAGCTTGGTATGATGGCTGGGTGGGCAGGCCCTGGGACCAGAGGTCTTGTTTGCTTCCTCGTTGGATTCGCTGGGCCCAATGGTGCCCCCCTCCAGGCGCTCCTGGCACTTCCCACAAGGGCCAAGATCTCTATCTCTAGCAGGTGGGTGAGATGAACAACAGCCCACCTGCGTGGTAGGAGGCCCAGGAGAGGGGCACCTCAGCGTGGCTGATGGCCCCAGCTGGCACCCAAGGCTCCCACCCCCTGGTACAGCCCAGACGTTGCCAAGAGTATGAACCAGGCCTGGGGGACAAGTGGGCCAGGGGTTCCGGGGAACAGCATCTGGATGTCCCAGGAGAAATGGGCAAAGATTCTGATGCCTGCTGACTCCTGCCTCTCCGTCTCTCTGATGGAATGAAGGACGTTCCACTTCCCCAGTTCTCTGGAGACGCCCACCAGGGGCTAAGCCCAGCAACCCAGGTTCCACAGTTGCCAATGGCTCCTTTGCCAGCCTGAGAACACTTGGATCCTTGTGGTAAAAGCCCTAAAGAGAGGAGAAGGGATGGAGCTAGTGCTGACTTTGATCCCCAGTGCTTCAAAGGACGAGCAGAACCGACAACCAGCAGGTGTGCGCCTGTGTGGCCTCAAGGGTTGTGAAAACACTGAAGAACTCAAGCCTGGTTTATAGGCACTGCTCCCTAAGTGCCTCCCCACTGCCCTGGCCACCCCAGATCCTTCCCCCAGGATTTCTCAGACCTCCGCACAAATCCAGCAACTAAAAGGTTAGTGCTTGCCACCCCCAAAGGGCCTCCAGAATCTATTGAGATTGTTTGATGACCAGTACCATACTGGTCTTAAAATATTTTAAATCTTATTCCTAGGCATGTGGGTGGGTTGCCTGGGGCAGGGGGAGGTGCCGTAGACACAGGCCATGGGGCACCCTCATGTCCCACTCCCAGACAGACAGCCTCGTCTGCCCCACAACCCCAGGATGAGACCACACATTCTGAGATCCCAGTTCCCAGGGATTTGTTCTGGGTGGACAATGGATGAGTCAATCCTGAAATGGCCCAAAGGCAAGGAAGGCTTTGTGAGATGGAATTGCTCAGAAGAAGAATTGCTTGGGGTTGACTCTGAGCTGACTACTTGGGTGCTGTCTTATCTTGTCATCAGAATGGAAGAGCAGAGTTGTGTGGCCCTGGCAGGGCTGCTCAGGGATCACTGAGCTACCTCGTGTGGTCTGAGCCTCAGGTACCTTCTCTGCTCCATCACTCACCTTGCTGCCTAAGCCAAAGGCAGAGGGCACTTTGGGCTGTCCCCCTGAGTACACCCAGGGGTGTGGGGCCAGGGGCCAGTCACATGGACGCTCTGGGGGCAGGCTGGACACTAGGTAGGGTGGCAAGCAGGTGGGCATCCAGAAGGGAGCTTGCTCCAGGATCTTGGTCTCCAGCAGGAAGGGGCAGTGCAAGGGCCGGAAGGCCACAGGGTCACTCTTGGGATGGCCACCATTATGCTCAGGAATCAGGGGGCCATAGCGGGGCGGGCACGCGGAGCCACAGAGTGCCAGTGGGTGGTTTAGCATTGCCTCCTTCCAGCGCAGACCCTCTTTGCTGCCCAGCCAGCTGGCCTTCCTCTCCCCATTGCGGGGGTCTTCTCCCTCCACCAGTGGGAGCGTGTCCTTGGGGCTCTGGGGAAAGCCAGGGGGACGCCAAGAGTCTGGGGTGCTTAGGACACCCCTCCAGAAGGGGGCAGACTCTCCCAGGCACAGTGCCCCACGACGCAGGCCATCTCGAGGCAGGGTATCCGACTCCTGTCCCACAATGCCATTCTCAGGGGTTATCTTCTCCCAGGCTGGGGCGTCCTTCAGGAAGCTGGGCGTACTCTCCATTACTCTCCTGCCCTCATGGGGCTTTCCAAGAGGGGATCCCTGGAGCATAACCAACAAAGCATGAGTTTCTCAGGCACATGCCCCAAGCACCCTACCACCTGCTACAGAGCAGGCACCGCCCTGGCAGCACCAAGGCAGCTCAAACCAGTAAGGCAAGTGCCAACCCACAGCTAGACTCCACACTGCCTGCCCACATGCGACTCGAAGGACCTGCCTGGGTGGGATGCTCAAGTGTGGGGAGGTCACCCCTTTGCCCAAATACCTGGGACTTGACAACCCACCTGGGCCAGAGCCCCTCAGCAAAGACTGCCATTTCTAGGATAACATGTCCTTGCATTGCTGAGCCTGGACCCTGGTCACAAGCCATTGGGAAGGGCAAGGGGGAAGAACCCAAAAGATGAGCTCGGTGGGAGGTGCTGCACAAGGGGACAAGAAGGCTAGATCCTGGCCCTGACTCAGCACCTGCTGCATGACCTTGGGCAAGTCATATCACTCCTCTGGATGTCAGTGTGCCCTTGTGCAAAATAGGGCTTGGAAATTGGGAGTCTCAGAGGCTTCTTCCCACATTGCAGTCTGTGGATCTGGGGGTACTGCTTGCCTACCCACCCCTCAGCCCTACTCAAGCTTATAGGGGTGGGAAGTGAAGGCAGGGCAGGCCAGAGTCACTGGGGAGAGCTGCCAGGCAGGGCTGCTGGCTGGTATCTTTCCCTACACTTGGGCAGCCCCTAGTGTGTCTCTTCCCAGCTCTGTACAGTTTCTTGGCTTCTGAAGCAGAGTCCCCGGGCAACTGCTGGGGGCTGGGATCTTCACCACTGCCCCCAAGGGAAGGAGTGAGCCAGCACTGAAGAGGGGGATTAAGAGGACTCAGCTGGGATGGGTCAAGCCGCTCCAGTCCAGCAGGCAGTGCCAGGGCCGCTGGCGGCCGCTGGTAACTGCAGCCTGGCAGGGGGAGGGAAGGAGGCGGGGAAAGCGGGCTGGGCCCCAGAGAGAGGCAAAGGAGGGAAAATTGAACGTGCATGCAAAGGACCAGGATGACAGGTGGCACCAGAGCCGCAGCGCTCTCCCAGCACGGCCCCCTCTGCCGGCTGGATGAAGCCCCAGGAGAAAGGTGAGGGAGCCCAGAGAGCCTTGGCATGAGGTCGCTCGGGTTTTCTGGGGCCACCATTCCGTCGCAGTCCAGCCCTGTCTGGCATCCTAACTTTTAGATCTGTGGCCCAGCCCGGAGAAGCACACTGGAAAAGCACAGGGAACTCACTCGCTGCGTGCAGCCCAAGCTTGCCTCAGAAATGCCCCGCTACGAGTATCCCCTGAAGGTCCGCCCCTGGCGCCCCCTCTCGGCCCTTACCTGGGCTTCGCAGGCCGGGCGCGGCGCGGGCGGCGGCGGCGGTCGTCGTGGCCGGCGCCGGGCGCCCGCTCCCCATGGGCCGGCTCCGGGGCCTCCCGGCCGGCGAGCGAGGACGCGTTCTCCCGCTCTCTGCTCAGCGCGCTCGCGTTCTCTTTCCCCCGGGGCGGCGGGGGCGCTCTAGGGCCGCAGGTTAGAGGGGTCGGATTCCGGGATTTGCAGGATGCGGCACACGGCGCGGATTGGCCGCACCAGCTTCTGGGCCGAGGCCGTGGGTTGCGCCATGGGACGCCGAGACTCCGTGCTGCGCCGCGGGGAGGGCCGGGCCGGGGCTAGGGAGCGGGTGCCCCCGGAGGGAGAGTGGGAGCCGGGCCGGGGGGAACGTGCGCCCCGGGTCGGAAACGGCCGAGTCGGGGGAAAGGCCGAAGGGCCGGGGGAGGGGGTCGTGCCTGGAAGGGGGGCCCGATCCCGGGTCCCAGGAGAGAGGCACCAGAGAGGGCGCAGCACGGCGCAGCGCGGCTAATGGAGGGAGAGCGCGGCGGACAGCGCAGCAAGACCTCTCATCGCCATCGCCAGACGCGCAACTGAGAGTGGGGAAGCTGCTCCGCCGGTTTCCTCCTCCAGCACCCTGCGGGAAACAGGAGCCCGTGATTCGGCGGCCCCGCCTGGGCCTGCCCCCTCCCGGGCCCTGGGGGCTTCCGCCAACGCCCCGGCGATGCCACCGGCTGCGCACGGGGAGAATGAGCCCTTTGTTCCCCCCTCCCCCCCGCGGCACCCGGGCGCCTGCCGAGAGAGGCTCCCCCGGGGCAGGGTGCCAGCTTCCCAGCCGCCCCACCCTCCCGTGGGCCCGGCCCCGGAGCCTGGCAGGCGGGCAGCACCCCCACTATAGGTGCCAAGCCCGGGAACTGGAGCAAAGGGCGGGAGGGGCCGGACCAAGCCATGGTGGGGCGGGGTGCCCCCCGGGGTGCTAGGGCGGGGCGGCTGGGAGGGGGCAGTGCCAGAGCTGGCAGGGGCAGTCGGGTTCTCACGGGTCAGTGATGGGCTCCTGACCCACGCCAGCCGACCCTGTGCCTGCTGGACCACTTGCTTGTGGTCCTTCAGCTCTGGCACATGGGTACACCCCCCGTGGCCCAGGTCTGCCCTACCTCATCCTCACCTGGCCAAGCTGCTCTTCACCATTCTTGACTAAAGCCCCCTTCCAAGTCCCAGTAGCAGGCCCCGTGTCCTGCCTTAGCAGTTCCGGGAGACCTAGGCTCTGGTCTGTCCCTGCTCTATGGGCCTAGGTTTCACCAAGTGTCCAGAGAGGAGGTGGGACCACATGAGCCCCAACACCTGCTCCAGCCTGGTGTTCTGGGGGTCTGCCCTATCCCAGTTCCTAGTGCTTCCAGGCCCAGCACTGGAGAGCAGCCCATGGGAGTGGCTCCTGGGAGGGAGCAGAGAGGAGGAGAGGAAATGGGAAAGCAGGGCACCCTCCACCCGAGGAAGCATCCCGGCTCCTCTGCGGGGGTGGTT